TCTCTCTCTCTCTCTCTCTCTCTCTCTCTCTCTCTCTCTCTCTCTCTCTCTCTCCTCTCTCACTCTCTCTTTAAAAAAAAAAGAGTGGGACAGAGAGAGAGAGAATTTTAACATTTATTTATTTTTTCTTAGTTCTCGGCGGACACAACATCTTTGTTTGTATGCGGTGCTGAGGATCAAACCCGAGCCGCATGCACGCTAGGCAAGCGCGCTACCACTTGAGCTACATCCTCAGCCCAATTTTTTTTTTTAAATGTTGATGGACCTTTATTTTAGTCATTTATTTATACACGATGCTGAAAATCAAACCTTACCTCACATCTGCTAGGTGAGCGCTCTAATACCTAGCCACCACCCCAGCCTGGAAAGGTTTATTTTGGCTCATAATTTGGGAATTTCAGTTCATGATGGAATGGCTCCATTGCTTTGGGCTTGTAGGGAGGTGGCACACACCATAGCAAGAGCCTGTGTTGGAGGAAGCTGCTCATCTATTGCATTCTGGAAGAAAAGGAAGAGGAAGGGACAGGGTCCCAATATCCCCTTCAAGGTCATGCCTCCAGTGACCTAACTTACTTCCACTAGGCCCCACCTTCTAAGAATTCCAGCCTTCAACACATGGGTCTTTGGGAGACATTCAAGCCCAAATTATAGCTGTGGTCCATCTTGCCTGCATAAAATGTAAGATTCTTGAGGGCAGGATCTTTTCAGTCATGTTTATCATCCTCTATTCATTGCTTTTTTTCATGGTGCTAGCACATAGGAGACACTCAAACAAATAGTTTTGAGATAAATGAGGGTTCCCAAGCCATATCTCTACTCAGTTTTAGACATCTATTTACTATTGGAAATCTCCACTTAGTGTCCCACAGAATCATCAAGCTCAGCATGATTTCTCCTTCCTCTCTTCTCGTGATCCCTTACATGGTTGTAGGAAGTACTGTCCACTCATTCTCTAGTCAGAGATTTGGTAGTCCTCATTGACCCCTCCTGCTCCTTTCCAGTCAGCCTCCTAGCCCTGCTGGTCCCAGCCTTTCTTCAGGCTCCTCCTTTCCAGCTCCCACCATCACTGCTTGAATTCTCTCACTAGATCGTTGCATCAGTTCCCAAACCAGCCTTCCACCCTTAGTCTTGCCCCCGTCTCTCCAGTCTGCAGCTCAGATTTGAGCATGTCCTTCTGCATAACATGTCTAACTGGTTCAGAACTGCTTTCACAATCAGATGCAGGCTCCTTAGCCCAGCATACAAGGCCATTCACTCCTTGGCCCTTTCCTGTCTCTGCAGCTACACGCCAAGGCCATGGGAGTACAGAGGATGAACACTTACATGCCAGTGTGGACATATGCCTGCAGAAAGGTTCTTCTTCATTTAGTACTGCTACTCTGCCCCTGTCCCTGCCACCTTTTTCTTTCTACTTGCTGCTCACTAAAACATCCTTGCCTTCATTTGGCTAAATAGGAACTTATGGCTGATTTCCACATAGACAATGCCCAGTAAATGTCATATTGAGTATGATTTTTTTTTTTTTTGAACCCAGAAGGGCTTTACCATTGAGACACATATCCAGCCCTTTTTATTTTGAGGCACTAAGTTGCTTAGGGCCTTGCTAAGTTGCTGAGGCTGGCCTCGAATTTGCAATCCTCCTGCCTCAGCCTCCAGAGCCTCTTTGATTACAGGTGTGTGCCCTCATGACAGGTTTGAATACAAACTTTTAAGATGTATACAAATACTTGACCTCAGTCCCCCACCCCAAGTCATTAAGTTAAAGAATTTAAAGTCTTTAATCTTGCTGCCTGTGGTGGTGCATGCCTATAATCACAGCTGCTTGGGAGGCTGAGGAGGAAAATCATAAGTTCTAGGCCAACCTGAACAATTTAGTGAGATCCTGTCTCAAAAAAAAAAAATTAAAAGGGCTGGGGATGTAATTCAGCAATACAATGCCTAGTACCATAAGTAAGTAGATAGATGGATAGGTATATGCATACACAAATACATAGTTAAGTAAATTAATAATCATTCTTCAGTCTCAAGGACAAAGTCCTTATACCTGGGGCAGGAATCTACACATAGTAAATTCTGGTTTAGTTACATGTCAGGTATCCAAAGGGCTACTTTAAAACCCACATTGATTTCCCCCACAACTCAGCATATTTTAAATGTAAATATTAGCTTCAATGGGAAGGCAAATCCTATGATGTACTCCAGAGTGCCTGGAAGATTATCAGCCATACTGGACTGTCAGATCCTGGGAACCCATGCTCCAGTGTTCTGTTGAGGCATCTTCTGAGGCAGAGGCTGCCAAATCTGTTCTCTCAGCTTTAGAATGTAGAAATGAGGCCTGGTTGGAGTCTACCACTTACAACCTCTGCCTGTTATTTGAAGATAAAGTCGTCTTTTCTGTCCTTACAGTCTCCTGGGCCTTCTGAAAATAGCCATTCACCTCTTTAGCTACAGCAAGAAGGTGAGGGTGCTCCTTTTCTGTGTTGTGTTACAAATTGGGACCTGCCTAAGAGGCAGTTGGTTAGAGGTGTTGTAAGTGGGACTCAGGATGAAGATTAGTTAGAGAAAACTTCAGAGAAAAGCTGGGTCGCCATAGGTACCTAGGGTAGCTGGGCACCTGTGCCCCAGGAATGTTGGTCCCATGAGGGCTGAGGGAGCAAGAGATGATTGACAGTTCTTAAGTTCTTAGGTGCCATCCTGGTCCAGCCCATATCCTTCTTGCTCAGCCTTCTGACCAGAGATGTGCTGTGCAGGCTATGATTTGTGTAAAGTGACTTAACGCATTCATCTGACAGTGACCAAGGAAAGAGCCAATTGAGTTTGTCCAAGAACTGGTTGAGTTTTAACATGGTGGCAAACCGGCTGGGGTGTCGCTGAGTGGTAGAGCTTTTGTCTGGTATGAGGCCTTGGGTTTAATCACGAGCACTGCAAAAAAACGAAGAAAAAGAAAAAAAGGGATAAAGCTAGTGGCGAAGATTGTTGGTGTTCATAGGAAACAGTTCTTCCATGGAAAAAGAGTGATTTTAATACATAAACTCTCTCAGTGCCACAGAAATACCTTGCCCTCTTTGTGCAGATGCTGCAGGCTGGTGGTAGGGCTTGGTTCCTGATGTCTGGGTGTGACTCACCAGTGTGGTGTGTGCTTCCAGCCTGTCTCCAGACCACCCAGCTTTATCTCTGCTGTCTCTGCCTTCTCAGGCTACTGACATTTCAGCTCAAAATGCCTTCTGAAACCACCCTCACATAGCGACCCAAGTCATCCCTGCTTCAAACCCGTTTCCAGCTCTTCCATCATGATTCAGTTAGACTCTTGTGTAGGGTCCCTCCATGCCCTGCAGCATGCAGGCTGTGTCTGTTTCTACTGGCTTCATCATATGCCAGCTGTGTGACCTTGGGCAGTCTCCTCTCCACCATAGCTTACTCACCTGAGCAATGGGGATGATGATAATAGAACCCACCTCACAGTGTTCTTGTGAGGATTCAGTGAGTTACTCCATGGAGAGTGCTTAGACCAGGGCCTGGAACCAGTCAGTTCTCAGTAAACATTTGTAAGATTACTGCTATACCCTCTGTGAGGGCAGGGATCACACTTTCTCATCTTTGTATTTGCACCACCATGCTTGGCCTGCTATGTGCTTGGTAAGTATTTATCAAATGAATATAATTATCTTGATGGTACTTTTTGTCTTCATGTTAATATTGATCAAATCAGAAGGTTTTTTCCTTCGGGAAAATATCCCAATTTCAGATTCTTAATTTATATTTTCCAGCAGTTTCCAATGGCAGCATATAAACAATAAAAGTTAAATAAACTTAAGAGACCAAATAACCTAATGACATAGTTAGGATTAATTTTTTGGGCTTGGGATGTAGCTAAGTGATAAATGGCTTGCCTAGCATGAGCAAGGTCCTTGGTTCCATCCCCAGCACTACAAACACACAAATAAAGAACAATTTTCATTTTATTTTATTTTCCATGGTGCCTAGGATCAAACTGAGGGCCTTACACATGGTAGGCAAGTACTCTGTCACTGAAAAGATTGTTGTTGTTGTGATTGAACCTGGGGTACTTTATCACTGAACTACATCCCCAGCTCTTTTTATTTTGAGACAGGGTCTCACTAAGTTGTTGAGGCTGACCTTGAATTTGTGATCCTTCTGCCTCACCCTACCACCTCAGCCTCCTGAGTCACTGGAGCTACAGGTATGTGCCACCACAGTGGTGCTTTCCTTTAATACCAGTAATTTGGGAGGCTGAGGCAGGAGGATCACAAGTTTGAAGGCAGCCTCAGAAACTTAGTGAGGCCCTAAGCTACTTAGTGAAACTCTACCTCAAAATAAAAAATAAAAAGGGCTGGGGATGTGGCTCAATGGTTAAGTACTAAAAAAACAAATAAAAATGAAAGATAATTTTGGGTGTGTGTTAGTTTGTTAGTTACTGAGGATAGAATCCAGGGCCTCATGCATGCTAGGCAAGAACTGCAACACTGAGCTACATCTCCAGCCATTTTTATTTTTAGACAATATCTTGCTGAGTTCCCCAGACTAACCTGGAAATTGCTCTTCTCTTAACTCAGCCTCCTGACTTGCTGGGATTATAGATGTGTGCCACTGCACCTAGCAAAAGATAACTTTTTTGTTTGTTTGTTCTGGGGGAGGTTGTGGTACCGGGGATTGAGCCCAGGGATGCTTAACCACTGAGCCATATCCCAGCCCCCCCTTTTTTTAATATTTATTTTTTAGTTGTAGTTGGACACACTTTATTTCACTTATTTATTTTTATGTGGTTCTGAGGATCGAACCCAGGGTCTCGGGCAAGCGAGGTGAGCGCTCTATCGCTGAGCCACAACCCCAGCGCTCCCCAGCTCTATTTAAAATTTTATTTTGAAACAGGGCCTCACTAAGTTGCTTAGGTCCTCGCTAAGCTGCTGAGGTTGACTTTGAACTTGTGATCCTCCTGCCTGAGTCTCCTGAGCTGCTGGGATTACAGACATGCACCACAGCACATGGCAAGAGATAACTTTATTTAATATTTATTCATCTTGAATCCCTGATCTGGAGATTTTTTTTTAGGGGGTGGAGAGAGAATTTTAATATTTATTTTTTAGTTTTCGGCAGACACAACATCTTTGTTTGTATGTGGTGCTGAGGATCGAACCCAGGCTGCACGCATGCCAGGCGAGCGCGCTACCGCTTGAGCCACATCCCCAGCCCCCTGGAGATTCTTTTTTTTTTTTTTTTTTTTCACGTTTCTCTTGTCTTTTCTCCCTTTTTCGGTCCTGGGGCTGTCCAGTATACATAGAACTGAGAAAGGGGAGAGGAAAAAGCCCAAACAGAAACGTTTATTTAATGGAACAGGGCAACTGCAGTTAGCAGGTGGAGTGGGGAGGATAAAGAGCAGGAGTGTCTGTCGGTCGCTTGTATGCCACACAGCTGGAATCTGTCTTGACAGATAACTCAGTGGCCTCTCTCTCTAGTCTTTAGGTGGTTTGGTGGTGGGGAACAGGGGAACAGGGAGTACCAGTCACTGCTGCCCTCTTGTGGGCAACCTGTAAAACAGATATTGAGTTGGGCACCAGGGACAACGGAAAGCTTTGGCTCCTTTGGTGCTGTGTGCACTGTGATCCTGCCCAACATGTGTTCACTTGTCTGCGCCCAGTCTGTCTTTCCATAGTGTCCTTTACATCATCTGCATATGTAAGCCAGCAGACTGAACCACCAGGACTTGT